GGGAGTCATTGGCGCTATTCACAATAGAAACGAAAGAAGGATGCGTCTCGTTTTTATGCATATATTTATTTCTAAATGTTATTCATGCATAAACAGATACAAGCTAGACTCTTACGTTTTTTCCCCTTATGATTATCAATCATTTTTTTTCACTATTATTCCTGTCCTTGAAAATGTCGATTGGTTTGATCGTATTGGAATAATTTCCAACTGAATACGATCAAATAATGATATATTGATACCTTGAATACTAATTTCTCGTGGCCTTCTATGCTGGACTTCCAAACGTTAGTCCTGCCTAATATAAAAAATATCAATCGATTAGTTTTCCTTCTTCAAACACGCTAAACATCTGGTTTATGTGATGCTGAAAATGCAGACAAGCATTGAAAATTTTAAGAACATCACGTTTTCGAGATTAAATTAATACAGACATGCTCATCATTATTTTGACCATGATAACAGCACCTAGTGAAATGTAGTGTAGAAAGCATTTAATGATGTCTCAATGAGTTTTGTAGCACTCAGCGTTGGTTGTATCTAATCGTAAATAATGGCTTCTAAGCCCTGTCTCATTATTCTATATCCGAAAGACAAATTTTCTGCAACGAATAATTGAATCACACTTGGTAAATTTTCGATACTAAGAAAATGATGAATATTAAGGTCTCTAGTCATTAAGCATACGTAAAAATACGAAGTATGATTACTTAAAATATAAGAGAAGTATAATTATTTTAGATGATAAATCAAAAAGTTGTTCAGGACACTTTAATCGAATAGAATAACAGTTTCGAAACATAGCTTTAATAGTCTATCTAATATGCATAGTGTTTACTGAACGTTAAAAATGTTTTTCAATTAGTATACAGACTTCAAACGAACGTAGTCTAATACATGTTTCCTGAAGCATTAAAGCTTTTACAAAGTGGAATGCATTGCGAAGGTTAACATGGTCTCACGTTCTCGTTAAATTCGTATATATTTCCAAAAATATTCCAAACATCGTCATTATACAAAGCATTTACTTAATAAGAAGATTATTTTCTATTTTTATCTTCAGGTTTACATTTTGTATATGCAGAATTTGATTGACAAAACAAAAGAAATGATTACCGGGTACTTTGAATGTAGAAATTTGTCATGTTTCTAATAAAAAATAAGTGCCACTTTAGAACCTTCTTTAGTAACATTACACAAACTATTAGAAAAAGTTTGTTTTTGTATAAATAATAGGATATTTATCATCAATGATGCAGTCATTTTTTTATTCAGAAGTCTCCATAATGCAATGGTACAAAAGCAAAACAAATGAATTCAAGCACTTCTTTGTAATTGGCCAAATAAAAGTTGAATTCGCATATTTTTAATACACGATTCGAGTAACTTCAAATATGAGAATAGTTTTAAATAGATGAATAAAACATCTGATGTGTTTCGCAAAGTTCTGTGAAGTTGATGTCAATAAACTTGTCTAAAATTGTGCTAACTATTTATTATCTACTTCCGCTGTAAACTAATAAAACCAGTGCAATAAATGTGCTATCGAAGTCTAATAAAAAAAAGTGACACATTGCTAGAAAAAAACTAGTAGCTCAAGAATTTTGAACTTTATCAGCTAATTATAACCATTATGACGGCTTTGAAAAAGGTATTTTTTGTTGTTTTTATCAAGATGCTACACAGAAATGTGTGAAAGTGGCATTTGCTGTACTCTTTAAAATAGTTAATTTTCTCTCAGTTCGTTCATGTGGTGCGCGCGTTATAGACGTTTTTTTATGATTCTGCTCTTGAGAAAGAAAATATTTGTAAGGTGCCGCTAAAGCAGAATTGGAGTAAATTTTGTTTCTCGCTTATCTATATATGGTTTGATAGAGCTTGAAAAGCTGATCAAGAATATGTACTTTTTGTTTCGATTTCATCTTTTTTTGGCTGAGAAAATCTTCAAAAACAAGAACGACTGAAAAAATGCTGTTTTTATGTTAAATTTGAATTTTTTACAAAAACTACCAAATTTCTTTTTCAGCTCTTTTCTGAGTATTGCCAAAGTACTACATTCTGAATCAGCATGAAAAACTGAATAGGAAAATGTTATATGATTAGACTTAGATATAATAAAGAAAACAATTTCTTATCTCGTATAAATAGCTCCATCAGACGAAAAGTATGTT